TTTCCATGTCTCCTCTCATTCTGGGGTTCCAACTAAGTGTATTTTTAGACCTTTCAGTCATATCCCGTCTATCTTTTCTGCTGTTTTCTGTATTTTATATCCTCTTGTGATTTTATTATTCTGTGTTCAATAATTCTTTTCTGATGTATTCCTGTTTGCTATTTATCTCTTCAGCTGTGTCTAGTCTGCGGTTAAATCCATCAGTTACTTCATAACTCTAATTTATCTAATTTTATTTGCAGAATTTCCACTTGGTTATAATTTATAATTTCCAGTTCTCTGTCAAAATTCTCTGTTTTGTCATGTAATTTTTGATCAGGTGATTGAAATTAATTTATACTTCACATTTTAGGGATGATATATAGTTCTTGCTTATTTATATACTCATTATTTTTTTTACTGAATTCTGATGTTGTGCATGAAAATTTGCACAAATAGTTTAAAGTTCTTGATTACGTTTTCTTTCTCCAGAGAAGATGTACTTTTGTTTCCGATAGTACCTCAATCTATTTTTAGTTGAGCCATTTGAAATTATGCTTTAGACCTGGTGAAGCTAATTTTTGTTTGTTTGTTTAATTACTTTTTGGGTATACAGCCCTTCTTGATTCCAACGAATCCTGGAGAATTTTCTATCTTTATTATGGTTGGTTCAAAACTTCAATTTGTGCTTTGCTAACTGGGCAAAACTCTGAGACAAAAGCTATGTTCTAATGTTTGGTTCACTCCCCACGGATTCTCTTCTTGCCAGGGTAGCGTCAAACGTCCTCACTTTCAGTGGTTTTTAGATCCCTTTAAATAGATTATTTTTAATATATTCTCTCGATTTTCTAGTTGTCGCTAGTGAAAAGATTAGTTTAAAAAAATAGTCCTCCAATACTGGACACATCCATATTTTACTCTGTGGCTTTCAGCTTGTAACCTTGACCTGTCCCACGTGCTCACTTTCACGGTGACCCCTAGGCGTCTGTGAACTCAGCTCCCCTAGCCTTGTCTCAGCACCGAGTACTTCTCTAATAACAGTCTTATCAGTACTTTAACTCTGTTGTTCCTCTACAGTAAAAATATCTGTAGGACAGCCCTCAGTCCCTCTGAGCTGTCTGGCAAGGCAATCGAAGCTTTCTCTCTCGGCATCAGTTGTTGCTCACGTTGCTGGTCTAGCTGCAACATTACGAAATTTGGAGTGGTCTGTCCCTAGGCTTCTTTCCCAAAAACTTTGTTATTTTTTAGTGTGGTTTTACAAAATGTCAGTGTCCTTTTCTTTTTTTTAAGAAATAAGTAGATAGATAGGTGGATAGATAGAGGCAGAGATAAGACAACAGAAATCCTTACATGTCTAAAACTGAACTCACCATTTCCTGCCACCAGTTATTTCTCCCTAAATTACTTTTCTGGCCTTCTCTATTTCTGCAAAGACACTCTCATTTTTACAAATTGAAAATTGTAATGCAGTCATTTGGTTTATGGCATTTTAAATGTTACATAAATTCTTATTTTTTTTTTTTT